ACAATATAATAAAATGTATTAAGTATTTCACGATTTAATCGATCTCTATGTTTATTTATAAACATATCTTTACGTTATTTCGTGTACGACGGCTTTAATGTGCACCAGTGCGCACCGAGTGCGTCCATTGAATTCGCTACCACACTCGTCTTTCCGTCTATACTTGTCTATACTACATGGACAATCCACGGACGAATGTTACTGTCGAAGTAAAGTTGATATAGCGTACTCGCAAGTAAAATCTTTGATTTTGGTAGAACGATCTTACGCGCGAAGCGTTCGTTGCGGACACAGAGTTATCCGAGGTAACGCGTTTATTTCGACGTCGAAGTGAGGCCTCACGATGGGCGTGCCAAAATTCTTCAGATACATAAGCGAGAGATATCCTTGTCTCAGCGAGGTCGTGAAGGAACAAGACTTCTTTTTTTCCTCACCCTATCACGCTCCTTCGTCTTCCTTTTTTTCTTATTATGCCCAAACAAGATTTCTATTCTTTCAAATATTTCGATAAAAAAAACCGTAAGATTTTTTACAGCTTTATATGGTAATCATAATCTAATTATTGTCTGTTTCTTCGTTTCTTTCCAGATACCGGAATTTGATTATTTATATTTGGACATGAACGGTATTATACATACATGTTCCCATCCCAACGACGACGTCTGCTTCCGCATCTCCGAGGAGATGATTTTTAAAAATATATTTCATTATATAGAGGTGCTATTTAACATGATCCGCCCACAGAAATTGTTTTTTATGGCGATCGATGGCGTCGCGCCCAGAGCAAAAATCAATCAACAGAGGGGCCGACGTTTCAGAGCTGCTAAGGATGCCGAGGTGCAAGAGGCTAAAGCCAAGGCCAAGGGTATTCCAATACCCAAAGAGAAGAGATTCGACTCGAATTGCATAACTCCAGGAACACTTTTTATGGCTAAATTAGGCGAGCAGCTTAAATGTTTTGTCGAACACAAAGTTTCTACAGATGATGCTTGGAAAAAATGTAAAATATTATTCAGTGGTTCTGAGGTAATTCTTCTGATGATGTATAAGAGAGACAAATACAATTTGTCCTCTTTTTACAGGAGTTAAGCTAATATTACGTTTGTCATATAACATTTTTAACAACCTTGAAAAAATTATGCAACATAAACAGACAAATGTAATATTGATTTTAGTCTAATATTACATTTGTCGCACAACAAATTTTTCAAGCCTATTGGTTGGCTATACGATTGAGAGAACTGAAAAATTCTCTGTAGCCAAGCTTGAAAAATTTGTTATGACAAATGTAATACCAGCCTTAAGCCTGTGGTACACGATGCTTTTCTTCCTGCAGGATTGCTTGCATACTACTGTACTAATTATACTGGCTGCTATACTGAAAATTATATAGCCTGCTAATTAATCTGCTGGATTTTCGTGATAGGTTAGATATTATTTTTCTTGCATGATTTTTGTGCTGGCTCATTGTGAAAGCCAATGAAGATAGTTTAAGTCATGTGATCAAAGTATTTTTTTCACAATAATTAAAAACATGCCATTGTACTTTTATGGCAATGTATCACAGTAGCAATATGCTATATGTATTCTTTATTTACTGATTTGGATAAAGTGTCTTCTGTCAAAAAACTTAATTGCTCATCCACCATGAAAATCTTACCATCTGTAGCCAAACAACTAACAACATGGTCAGCAATCCTGCCAGCATCACTGTCAATACAGCAGCAAACACGCAAATCCAGCTAGTAATGCTGCAAGAAAAAACCACAGGTTAAATATTTGTTATTCAGTAGAATATAACAGAGATCAAATGTATTTTAGGTCCCTGGAGAGGGAGAGCATAAGATTATGGATTACATAAGGTACATGAAGGCGAGCAAGGATTACAACAGTAATTCTAGCCATTGTTTATATGGCTTGGATGCAGATTTAATAATGTTAGGCCTCTGTTCACACGAGCCGAATTTCTCTCTTTTGAGAGAAGAAGTAAAGTTTGGCAAGCAACAAGTGAAAATGACCCCCGAGGAGACAAAGTTCTGTCTTCTTCATTTGTCACTTTTACGAGAGTACATAGAACACGAGTTCTCGCCGATCAAGGACAAACTGTCGTTTTTGTTTGATATTGAAAAAGTAATTGACGACTGGGTTTTAATGGGTTTTCTGGTAGGAAACGATTTCATTCCCCACCTGCCAAATTTACATATTGCTAACGGTGCACTGCCAATTCTGTACCGTGCATATATGGAAGTATTACCAACACTAGAGGGTATGTTATTAATTATTATCTTATCAAAATTATGTTTCTATAATTATATAATTAAATATATTATTTTGCTTCAGGTTATATAAATGAAGCAGGAACATTAAACCTTGACCGTTTTGAAAAGTTTATGGAGAGACTTAGCCGTTTAGATGTAGAGCAGTTTAACGAGCAGTATGCCGATATAAAGTTTTTTGAAAGTAAGACAGGTAGAAGGCCCAATGAATCTGAGCGTCATATATATAAGAAAACAGAAGACAACGAGAGTGCATCTCCAAAGAAAACACAAAATAAAGATTTAGATGCTCTTATTAAAAGTACTAGGGAGATGGTACTTATTTAAATATCTTTTAATAATATCTATAAATACAAAAATAAGCGATAATTAATGCTTTGCAACACAGTCCTTAGGTAATTTTGACGATGATGATATCTTTATAGACTATAGAAATATGGATTTAATAGTAGATGATGAATCAGATAGTGAGATATATAACATGGAATTTGTACAACATAAAAAAGATTATTATATGAACAAATTAGAATATGAAAACGTCGATGAGTGAGTGTTTTATACATGTATAATTTTACATAAAATGTTTGAGATAATATTCCAACTCGTTTATAAATACATTTTATTAATTTCCAGAGAAGTTTTACGTTCACAGGCTGAAGGTTATGTAAGAGCGATACAGTGGAATTTGCATTATTATTATCACGGCTGTTGCAGCTGGTCGTGGTATTATCCACATCATTACGCCCCATATATCTCAGATATAAAAGACTTCAAGGATTTGAAGTTAGAATTTGACTTAGGAGAGCCGTTCTTACCTTTTCAGCAATTGCTAGCTGTGTTACCAGCATTTAGCAAAGATTTATTGCCAATGGCATTTCAGTCACTATTGACAGAGGAAACTTCTCCGATTATTAATTATTATCCGCATAATTTTAAAACTGATTTAAATGGAAAACGACAGGAATGGGAAGCAGTTGTACTTATCCCATTCATTGATGAAAAACTATTGTTGGCTGGTGAGCAATACTCTTTTCTATATTTTGAAAATATTTGTGTAAGATAAAATGTAAACATTTAAATAATAAATTTTATGTTTTTTTAAAATATAAAACATACTTAAGTTTCTTTTTCGTTTTTTTGTTTGCAATAGCTATGCAGCCACATTTATCAAGATTAACACTTGAAGAACAAGCAAGGAATAAACACGGGCCAATGTGTTTGTCCTCGTATACCGACGAGATCCAAAGTGTTCACAAGACAACAATATACTTTCCAGAATTTACCAATCATGCTCAAGTAAAATTAATGAATCGCGAAGAAATTTTCGTTCCGAGAGAACAATTAATTAGAGGATTATCCCCTGGTTTTGATCTCGACATTTATTATCCAGGATTTCCTATACTACGGCATTTGGACCATACAGCGCATTTGGAAAAAGCGAGGGTATTGCATATCGTTGAAATTCATTGTCTTAAATCTTAATCAGTTATTATATCAATATTTTTGTAGGTCAAAGTATTTCAGCAACATTCAGTCTTAGACAGTATGATTCTAACTATATTATCAAAACCAACACCCAATTTAACAACTTTAGCGTCAGAGCTATTAGGAAAGAGCGTATATGTAGAATGGCCTCATTTGAAAGAGGTCCTTGTAGTTGGTGTATCTGACTGTAACGTAAAATTCAGTCTAATCAACCAATTAGATGGTTACAGTCATGATAATTTGAAGAAAGAAGATGTGAAGGGCGCATTATCCGCAGAATGGAACACATTATGCAAACAAGTTAAAGAATTGTAAGACTCGTTAATATCATTAACATTAGAGTAACATTAAGAACGCAATATAATACTGCGCAATATTTGTTTCTAGACATATGTCACGTCTTGGGATAGATATTGGTGACACGAATGTGTTGCTTTACGCTCGCGTGTTCCTGGGCAACAAATATGTTTTCGGTGTTCAAGGAAAAGTTACGATCGAGAAACAGTGGAACGATTACGCCGCAGCTTACGCTTATCAGACGATAGTCAAAGATATCTCCGTCTACAGTAAAAAATTGCCAGTTTACGAAACTATGCATGATATTTTTATACCAGGAACCTTTTGTTTCATGTTGGGACATCCCTATTATGGTGCGATGGGAGAGGTACGATTGCATTGGATTTCTTCTTACATCACATTAGATACCATTATTAATGATTAAATTACTTTGAAATTTATCGAAATAGTTCTATTTAGGATGATTTTATTATTCTGTAGATAATACACAATAAAGAGGGTTGCAAGTCACGCAGAATCAAAATTTCTATAAAAACTATAAAGGAGCCAACATTCGATACCATTAAACAAGCTTACGGGCAACAAAAAACGCGATATATGCCTGGCAGTATTGCTGCACAACGTCTTGGAATAAATAGTCATCTTTTGAGTAGGGTCACTGGAACAATTTATGTTATAGAATCATCAACGATTGAAGTTACTAAACATAATCTTGGATTGAATTTAAAATTCAATAAAAGGAATGAAGAGGTAAAAAATCTACACGAGAATAAATTTTACTCATTAGATATAATTTTATAATTGATAATGTTGCATTTTTTAAATGTATTTTACAATGTAATCAATTATCGGTTCTCCGTTTTTAATATATCTACAATCTTAAAAGGTGCCTGGTTATACCAGAAAGGAAAACAGTCAATGGTTATATAGCACAAAAGCGATCGAACTGATTCGGAATTATATGACGAAATGTCCTAATTTGTTCGAACGTTTAGCTCAGAATGTAGCAAACGACATTTTCCAAGAGGAAGAGTTATTCACAAAGGGGTATATTTTGTGTTTTCTTACGCCAAGTATACATAATGTATTAATATAATAATGCAACATGTGGACATTAATAAGTAGGATGAATTCAATAAGTAAAGAAGAGTCAAATGTGATCGAAGCTAGATCCTAGATGCCTATCAGGCACTAAGATCTATCCAGCATCAACCGTATTTGGGTCTTTACTTATATTTAACATATTTATATAACAGTTTAGTTTAACATATTATTGTAGCTCGGATGAATTGAAGGATACAGTTGCATGGCTGAAAACGGAATTGAATGGTTTAGAAAGTCGTACTTGCGGGATGGATGTCGTTGAAGCGGACTTGGTAAAACAAATCGAGGAGGAAATAGAGAAATACTTGAAGACTGAAAAGACCATGGAAAAAACGGTCTTTCTGCAAGTGAAGCCGCAATTACTTTATAAACCGGGTTTACACTTGCGTAGCGTGCCGCCCGATCCGAATTCCCAAAATCGTTTATTCGATAGAATTCTCTGCGTCAGAAGCGGCTTTAGCGTACCGCTCGGAACTAAGGGTACTATCATTGGAGTACGAAACGGAAGCAACCCAATTGATACCATGTACGACGTTTTGTTCGATAAGCCTTTTATCGGTGAGGAACGCATAACTTTCCGAAACTCGAATATTAAGTGCATGTAAATTTTTATGGAATATTTCTTTGTTTATCGCAGGCGGACTCACGTTTAACGGTTGCTCTCAGTTTCGCGGTTATCGTTTGTCGACTATGGACTTCATAAACATTAGTTTCGGCGAAAGAACGGAGCAGGGAAATGTAGCGAATGAATTTACGGAAAGCTGGAAACAAACTATCAGTTCTGCTTCTCCCAATAAGAAGAACGACCAAGCGTTGAAAGCATATCCGCAAATGCAGCTCGCTAAGAAGGGACTCGAAAAATTAAATCGTGATATTTGTATGCGTATGGCGCAACACGGCATGGAATTGAATCCGAAAACAACACCTCAATCATACAAAACATTACCTCAGAACGCGCCCCCGCCGCCGCCGCCTAATCAAACATCCGAGTTTCAAGCACTGTGGAACGAATTGCACAAGATGCAGGTGAGTGTAGCGATGTAGAATTACGAGATCGTTTCACGAATCTCATAGATATTCTTGCTATACATTAGAAACCGAATGGACCACCAGAGAAAGTGGCATCTAGTTCTACGCTGAGAGTCAAGTCGTACAGCAACAATCACAATGTACAATCGGTAAGTATTGTTGAATATTGTACTTTTAAAATTACGTTTGCTTTATCAATGTATTCCTAAAAGATAATTCTGTTACAGCCGCAAGATCCTAGCGCATTTTTGAAAGCTGTGCTAAAGATTCCTGACGTAAATCCGCAAACGAGCAAGCAAGAAAGTACGCCTCAACAATCTACGCCGCAACAATCTGTACCACAACAATCTATACCGCAACAGTCTATGCCGCAACAGTCTATGCCGCAACCGGCGGCGATGCTTCAAAAAGCGACAGTCTCGCAGAAGGATCAGAATCCTCCACCTTTAGTACAACAGTTGTTCGATGTATGTGTTTATGTCTCGTTAATTTACATCACGTGTGTCTACATATTATTTAATAATTTTATGATGTATATACATTGTTTAGCGCGCCCGACAAACAGAACAGAAAAAGGAGAAAGCAAATGCAGTTTGGTACAGCACGCAATTATTAAAACATTTCTCACATAACGGAACTGGCATGCCAAAATATAATTATGTTGTCGATGAAAAAACGGATTTAATCAGCGCTCATGTTATGCTTATGGACAATAAGATTTTTAAGAGCGATCCTTGTACCACTCATGAACAAGCTACAGAAAGTGCCGCGAAAAAAGCGTACAAGGTAACAACAAGTGTATAAAAGGTTTCCTTCAATTTTGTTTTTTTTACTTTTATTAATGTAGCTCTTATTGTTAGGCGTTAAATTTGAATAAGGCATCAATGCACGATACGAAAGTAGCAATGACACCTCAGTGGTTTAACACTCAACAAAACAATTGGATCCAAAATATCCGACCTCCTATGATGCCTCCAATGGGCCATCTGAAAATACCGCCAGTCCCGCTGAATATGCCTATGCAGCCTAACTTATTTTATCCAAAGTGGAACCCAAAATTACCACCGACCCCAGCGTTTATGCAACTCGCATCGTATAACCAAAGCAGGCAACTGCAAATGAAACATCAGATGCAACAGAATCATCAACAACAGAAAGGTCCTCAGAATGGATCGAAGATGGAAATTAGAAATAGCACCGCGTTCGTTCCGTTACAAGCTCAGAAAAAGAGCAGAAACGCCAGCGTACAACAAGCCTCGAAGGAGACGAATCTGAATGCTAAGAAGAGCTCCAGTCCTTCAAAAACGCAGCAGCAACCACAAAAACAGAAACAAGAGGAAACGTTGCCCAAGGTTTGTAAATCGTTTCTTTTTTTGTTATCTTAACGTTTATAATTAAATTGCCTATTTTTCGCGCGCAGAAACAAAAACCGGAAGTTGTAAATAAGGCTAGGGAGAAGATAGCGTCAAACGAGCCGCAGCTACAACCGAAACAACAGCCACAGCTGCAGCAACAGTCACAGCAACAGCCGCAACAAAATGCAGGGAAATCGTCCAAGCCCAGGAAATCACGTGTCGCCGCAAAATTCGGCACACAACCCTTGTCGAACGGTGGCGACCCGCCTCAGTGAAAAACTGGTTTTTGGATGGGGTAGATCTTTGCAAATTATGTGTAAATACAAGATAATTATACCGATCCATCCTTTCCCGCCATCGTTCATTTTCTATATTTTATAATAAAAACAAGCAGATCTTTCTCTCAAAAGATTTCCAATGGGCCAGTATATATATTTCATTTCGAAAACTTTATATTGACGCACCCAAAAATTTTTCGTACTTACATACGATCGCATGTCAGTGCACCAAATAATACTAGATCCTTTCAAGTCAAATGTATATACACTGAACTACACATAATGTACAATGTAAACAAAACAAGTGAGAATGATTATTTTGTATTGAATGACTGTTTATTTTGTATCTTATCATGACGCACACATATATATATATATTGGCGTGTAATTTGTAACTAATAACTTTTATTTTTTGATTTTGTAATATTTCATCAAGGTAACAAATTATTTTGCAATTATGAAAGGAAATCTAATATTATTTATTTAGATATATTTTAAAATAATGGAAATAATATAATATATGCACAAAAATGGCAAAACTAAATAATGTAAGTCTGATAGGTACATCATTTTTATGTTCCTTTTTTGTTTATAATACATTTTTTATTGTAAAATACGTCGTGTGCACGACAATCGGTTTGTACTGTTTTTTACATTATTTTGGCATGCCATTTTTTTTCTTTTTTGAGAAAAGTTTCGGTTAGTAATATAACATATTAGGACTACAGAAATAGACTGATTTTATCATTTAATAGTGCATCGCGATTTTTAGAAAACAGCCCAATTTTTAATGCAAAATATTCGTCTATTTGCATATAGGCGTCGTACGAGATAACGTTAAACGTATATGTTAGTACGTACATTTAAGACAGTGAGAAAGTGATATTAAGTCCGTAAATAGAAATGTATATCTTTGATGAATTTTTCCGTTCTTTTTTTCTGTATTATAAACAACAAAACAGAAATCAAAATTAAACAAAAGCATAAACTCCAAGATGTTCTAATCTTATTATACAATAAAGAAAGCACAATATATAATTGCTAAATATATTTTGCAATCTCAATCTTTTACATTATTTTTTAATGGTTTTATGCATCTTTCTTACCTCCAAACAAACCTTTATTAAATCATAAATTATTACTGTTATCACATTATTAATGTTTAAGTTGTAGCCTACTTTATACAAAACCAATATATTTCATTCATTTTGAATTGCTTCGGTAAAATTTTGCGCATTAAAAGGATTAAAGAACTCGAAATAACATTTTTTAATATTATCATATTCTCTCTCCTCCGAACATACAAAAAGGAATTGGATTTATACATTACTTTCTCGTTTCTATATACAGCCTTGGCCAAAAATATTAAGTATCTATATATATTCTATACTTTATATATAACAGTTAATAAGACCTATACTTAGATATGTTATTAATCTTATATAAAGTTTTAACTCGAAAATTAATTTACAACATTTATTGTGAATTCTTTGTTTTAAAAACTCTTTAAACTTATGCTGGTAACCAATAAGAAACAATACAAATAAAAGAATTTTAAATTAATGACAAAAAAAATACAGATGCCTAATATTTTTAGCCAAGGTTGTATATTTCACTGTCTTTACTGTAAATATATTTTTTATTATCGCTATTTATTTTGCATCACGTGGACATTTTTGTATTCGATACACTAAGCGCTTCTATCACACAATCAATGAATATCTTACAATTCAAGTAAATAAATCTGTATAAAACACAATTATATACATTATGCAGCGTTTATTATATTATATGAAGAGATAAATTATACTAACGTCTGTGTGTTACATATATATCTTAAATCGGTCACTTCGTACAGTAAAATTCGTCAATCGACATCACAAAAGTTCTATTGTCATATACCCGTTTTCTGACGACATTGTTTATTAAACTCCTTTAGTACATCGCAAAGTCGTCCCCTGTTCGTTCTCTCGCGCAAAATGCGCGTGATGTCCTCCTTCTGTAACACAGCAGCGAGGTTCTTTTGATTTTCCAATCCGACGCGTAACCACTGCGCAGTCCATTCCGGACACGTTTTGTTCAGTGCTAACAGAACTTCGGCGTGAGGCTCCAAGTTATTGTGAGGCATTGCATCACCTAACAGAAATTAAGAAATAAATTGATCGAATGTTTTCACATTTGCAGACATACTGAAGTCTTCTACTTACCGACACAATGCAAAATCGCAGCGACAAGTTCCTGTCCAATTGGTTGAATGAATGTTTGCAGGTGCGGGCTCTGCACAATCGCATGACTAAGAAAATATCCGGCTGCTTTGGCTGTAGCTGTCTCTGGAAGCGTTAGACAAGCAATCCCTGTAAAAAGGAATATAATTACATTGTATGATGATTTTCATATTTCCAAGGAAACATATAATGATGTTGTGCTTACCGCATTGCAACATATCTGGGATTTGATCCGGGATTTGCAGCAATAATCGAGCGTTCTTCTTACAGATCTGTGCTAGCACGCCCATGTACGCTTCCATCAAATCCGACCACTCGGATAGGTCACCTTGCACCGATCTGCATACCTTCACGCCATTCAACGTTAACGAGCTCATTTCTGCAAGCACCGGACTCACAACGTTGTCTGGATCTCTGCCGAACAGCAACACGAGTTGCTTCAGCAGATTCAACGCAGCTGGATGCGGCCAAATCTTATAGGAGGTCGACAGAATCGGTAACAAAGGTCGTGCCTCAATCTCCGGCTGCCTTAAAGCCGTCACGGATCGTTGCGCACACATGTGCATTGCCTCCAGCGTGGCGTTGTCCTGGCTCCATTCGGGATGTGTGATGATCTGATTGAACACTGGCAGCACGCCGTCCAGTACGGCCTTGCCGATCGCACCCTCGATCGTGCTGAAGAACATGGTGGCCATCTTTAGATAATTCGTCACACCAAGCCGTGCAGTAAACAATGGCTGTCCCAACAGCTCCTTGATCTTTGTCACACATAATCCCAGCGTTGCCTCCAGGTGCAACAGTTGCTCCTCCATAGAAGACAACGCATTAAGTAATTTTCCAGCCGCATACATGAGTCGCAAACCTTCTCCACCACCAGGCTCGACATTCGGTAATGTCTGACTGATAGTGTGAAGAATAGATGGCGCATAAGGGGCGAGATATGGCCCGCACTCTCTCGTTAGATCCTTCAGTGCCATACTCGCAAACGGTGCTGTCATAGGTCCCCTGGTCAGTCCCTGAGTAACAAGCTGTAAGACTTTTTCTAGCCAGGGCTCAGGATGCTCCCCTATCCATTCGGCGTATGCGCCCAGTGTTGAACAGGCACAAATTAGTACCTGATGATGAAATGAGTCAAATATTTATGTTATTATACACTCAGTAAACGAGAATGGATTAAAATGGATTGAAATTTTGTCATCCGAATGCGTATTTTAAATAGCGAAAACTTTTTTTTTATTCAATTGACATTTACTTCATGCATTCCTATAAATGAATAAAAATGCATTCAAAATTGAAAAGCATTCGTTCTAACATTCGTGAATCCATATTCCTGAAAGTCTGAATCCATTTCAATCTATTCTCGTTTACTGGGCAGATATATTATTTTTAGAAAAAAATCATCAAACTAGCTAGAAATAAATTATGTTTAGAGTTTGCAAGAAGTATTGCAATTAATCATTGTTTTTAAGAATGATCGTACGTACCTCTTCGGGATAAAGATGATAAGGTATGTGAACGATAATCAAGTTTATCAGCGCAGGAATGTAACAGTATTCCTGAGTACCGACGCTCTCGGATAAAGCTTTGAAGGCGTGTAACGTTGATTCTATGTGAGTCCATGGTGAATCTTCCAAGCTCAATTTTTGCCCGAGAAGTGCCAGCAAATCACTGCCGAGAACACTGTAACAATAGTCCAATGTGTCTGCCACGTCCTGCCTATAACATCTGAAGAGCTCGCGCTCATCCGCATTCCCTCTCTCGCTCGGAGACGTGGGTAGCGTTGATTTTCTTAGCAACGCCTGAGCCAGTCGGAAATAAATCGGCTTCAACGCTTCCAAAGCTCGGTTTTCTAACGGTTGATCTAACGTAGCAAGATCGTCCTGTAACGCGTACCAAAATCCAAACGGGATACAGCTGCGCGTTTCATCGATAGGATAACGTCCTTCTAGTTCCGAGCACTCCAATAATAATTCGATCAATCCCATGGCCGTCCATGTATGCGCCTCGTTAGAATTCTCAGCCAGAGCAATCAGAAATGCTCGACTGTGAGTTTCTCCAATGGCGGTTAATATCTCGCAAAAGAATTTTCTATTGTACTGCTTCGCTAACAATACTAAACTCTTGGCCCATTCCCAGAATGTCTGTGGCCGTTTATGAAGCTCGTAGTGCGTTACAATCATAATTAAACAATCTTGTACTATATCCCAACTCTTGATGTTGTCATCATCACCATGATTCTCATCTCTAACGAAAAGAATTGATATTTTATTTAATAATTCAATAATCCGCATATATTATATCATTTTTTCTATTGCTATGCAATTAAATTTAATCCTGCTGATCTGGTTCAACATATATTAAATAATAAGAATCTCATTTTTAGACCGAAGATGTGAGGATACAATCGATAAACTAGAAGTCTGTACTGTAAATAAATTTAGTGCGAAAAATATTACCTCCGCCGGGAGTCGAACTGTAAATTTATTTATAGTTTTTCAGCAACATCTTGCTAATATGATGCTGTGCATCAAAATTGTCAATTAATTTAATTCGTATTATTCAGTAGTTTAATTGCGTTTATAAGTCCGAAAAACTAAATTCGGCGCGCAGTTTGAAGGACTACAAATATGATATATATGCAAATTATAGCATACATATAATTCACATTAAAAATTATTTCAAGCATTAAAAGATCTAGCTTCGACCGGTATAGGCTTCTAATTTATCGAATATATTAAATAATTGATAGATTACATAAAAGCCCATTTAATTATTTATAATTGTTTACCTCAAGTAACATAAAAGACTATATTATCGCTTAACAAAACTTTGTAAAGATGCATAAGGGAATCTAGTTTTCTCACACTATGATCCAAAATATAATTTATTTTCTTATCAATATTTTATTTAAAAACTTTTTTTTGGTATTTTTAACTTTTCATCAATGTAAGATTTTTCTGTGAAATTTTATCTTTTTAGGGCTTTTTAATCATGTTGATCCAAACAATATAATCGTATAATACATTTGTATACAGCAAGATTAACGATATTCATTGTTTTTTTCAATACAACTTACTTATTAGGTGCATAGTGACCTGCAGCCACTAATAAATAAGGATAGATTTGGCCACTA